AAAGCATGATCGGAGGGTTTCTCTCTTTCTCTCATCTTCAATGGTAATGATGACGAAGATGTGTCGTTACTTTCTGTTCAATTTAATCAATCCTTCACCCACAAATGATTGTATTGCGGGACAGTTCCATACATATACATATGTCGAAAGATAACATCAGTTGTTGTCCGGATGTCACTTCTTCACGGTAATGGTGCTATATTGCATCTCTTCACATACTATGTTACTTGCCGTCGGGATTAATTGATATCTAGTTATCGGTATGAAATGATACGATGGAAACATTCATGGTCAGAGTTCCACATATTACGATGAAGGTCTCAAGAATATATTCATATATTCATTACTGGATAAGTATGGTTATTGAAAGTTATGATTATCAGATTCATCGCTAACTAAAAAATCATTGTTTGCCTGTCTTACGAACAATAAATCAATTCAATCTTTACTTTTCAATTATCGCTTTTTTGCAGTCACCCAGAACCGATGGATTTCTTCTCAGTATCATATTCCAATTACAGTTCAGATCAATGCGATTGAATAGGAAGTATTCATCCATAAAAATAAGAATGAGAAATGTTTAAAATTTACTTTTTGATATTCTTGTAAAGTTGGATAAGTAACAGGTGGATTCATCATTTTAAGAAATGACTTAAAACACGAATCTAAAACGTTTCTTCCCTTAAAAACTGTGATTCATCGTTGTGAAATTAGAAATTAGACGAAGGAAGCAAAACGATAGTGAAGAGTGAAGAGGGAAGAAAGACAACAGAATTTATTTGCTAATAGCGATACATCATGATACAGCTGATAAGCTAATACAATGCGGAACACTTTTGTTTGGAAGTGATAGCATTCTTCCAATGAAATGGCATGGTGTCATATTATGATCAAACGAATGTATAAACTACCGACATAATTTGGGTTAAAAAAAGAGAAGGACTAACCTTTGGGAAGTAAGGATTACTTCTGAGGTTGTTAGCGACTTATTCTTGAGGGAGTGCTGTTGCTTCTTACTGGGAAAATGAAATGATACTCTGTCCTGATTGCACTGAAACAATCGTAAATTTCGCTAATGGTAATAATAAAGCAACAAATTCGAGATATTTAGGAAATTATGGAAAAGGAAAAGCACAGAAAATGTCAATGCAGTCGATCTTCTACCTTCTCTGCTTCATAGAAATTCGACCAAGACAGTAGCAATGTAATTCAAATCTTTTGTTAGATTGGATAATTGCATTACAGCTATTTATTGTTATCAGATAAAAAATGAAAGTAAGCAAGTTTGGATAATGTTAAAAATGTGATAACAATTCCTCACAGCACGTTAAACGAGCTGCATATTATTATCACCGGATTAGTATAAGTGAAGTGATATGCGCAGCCTATCTTACATTTATCCAGTAACTATGTAACAAGAAAACGATAACCAATTAACTATCGGAATTCACAGATTAATTTCACCCTTGGAAATGATGACTGAATGAAATAATGCGACAAATGTCTAGTCATATATTTTGACTTTATTGAAAGTTGACATCGTTCCATTACCGCGTAATTTGGATTTCATTAAAAAAATGAAGTATTTTTATGCTTAAATCACTGCATGACCGAAAAATTCAACATTAAGATGATATTAAGAATAGAACTCATTATAACCTTTCTAAACAATCGAGAAGTTGAGAGTGACTATTTACTATTTCACTTATTTTCAATTTTTTTTTAAGAACTGGAAAGAGTAAGCAACATGCATCCTCACAGGAAGATAATAAGGTGAATATATGAGGGGAATCACTAAAAGATAAGAAGAGATTTCAAAAAGTATGAAAAAGATGGCAGGTACTGGGAGTATATTCACCAGCTGTACACAATAGTATATTCACTTCACTCAGCACTTGATGAAATGAACGAATCGAATCGCACATTGAATGAAAGAATGAATGAATACGCCAACAGCATTCAACATATTAAGGATACAAAAACAGGGTGTATCTGAATGTGGGTCTCGATTGCTCTCTTCTGTTCTTTCTTACAGACCCTGTCAGTTCCCTTAACACATACACTGTCTACTGAAATGCATTACTGCCACAGAGTACAAATGATCTCAATAGCCTGATCTATACTCACGAGGCATGAACTTACGAATTTGCAGCATTAAATATGCTCAATAATAGATTGATCAATTATAAGGAGTAAAAGTGCAAATGCCTGAAACAAACCAGTTCAAAATTAAAAACCAACCTTTTTTCGAGAACCCCAAAAAACATGAAGTAAGGGAAGCGTTATGGGAGTATTATTTTTTTATACCATTCTAAGTCTTCTTCTGATATCACAATAAGTTTACATTGCAGGTGATTCTCCTTGATTCTTTGAACCATCTACAAATAAATTTCCAGCTTTTTTTATAATTCACACAAATGTTTCAGCTGATGCGAACGATTCATGTGGAAGATTGGACGAAATATTATTGTTGAATATAAAATTCATCTCATTTTTTTTTGAAATTTATAATTCTTTTAAAGAGATAACCATGTCGTCCAGATCTTTTTGTACCTTAATTTCAGGAGCTCAACTATTCATTTCAACATTCATCTTATCTTAACTCTTTTCGATTACTATGGTTCATCAGTGATCAATTAATGTCCATTGGTCAATTTATTTTTTACAAATTATTACTGCTTGCATTATGAGAGAAAACATTTCTCAATAATTCAAAACATCTTCGTTTCAAACACTTTCATACTTTCTACTAATAAAAAGCAGAACATTGGGTTTAAAACAGTTCAGAGAACTACTCCCAAATCACAAATCATTTTCTCTAAAAAATAAAGATGACGGGTCAAACAATTTAATTTTTCAAATTTTTTTTTTTCGTTGTTTGCACGAATATCTTATAACCCAAAGGAAATAGTTAAAAAAAAACTGGAAATTCTTGTAGAATAGGACAGTGTCAGAAGGAAAGAAGGCGCACATTCTCGAAATGAGGTCACCGTGCTGAACTATATTACTGCATAATTCCACCTCCACACTCACAAATAATAATTGCCTATGTTTGCCCATTCCTGAACTTCCTTCTCTTCCGTTCTTTCCACATCTCATCCCTTTGTTAACAGCTATCCTACTAAAGCACATTTTCTGCACTCATTTGAAATCAATTCTCCAAAATGATGTTATGGATAAAATGATGGGACAAAAGATACTAGCATATATTTCATTGAATTATTTTTTTTTTCAAGAGAAGTAAGCTGTTTTTTAATATTGTTTTTTAATATTCCCAGACATCTCGTTTCTCATTTTCCGTAGATTTGATGACAATAACAGAAACACTTTAATTCCAAAAAGTACAAAAGCTGATGTGTCTTCAGGAGACGGATAGTGTGTATACCTAGTCAAAACAGAAAAATAGTAGAAAATTTATTTGTTATCATCCACCATCGAACAATTGCAGACTTGTGATTACAAGGAAAGGAAATGATAAATAATACAAAATAAAAGAAAAAAGCAACAAAATGAATTATTTGTGTAGCATATTAAAGTACCAAAAGAAACTGTTATCAGCTTGTCTTTTTTTTCGTATTTAAGATTGGCAAAAACTGTCAAAGTTTCACTCAGATACAACAAAGCTAACTAATCAAAGCAATTTTGAATATAAACCTTCAACAATGCGAAGCAATTGGTTTTACCGGAAACAATTCCACCAATATCCATCAGGTATTTAACAGGGTACTTTTACATTATCATTGAGCTTGTCTAGATATCAAACTAATTACTTAGTTTAAAATGGCATATAAGAAAATAAACTTAGAAATTCCTATTTGTGACTAAGAGACAAATAAGAAGTTAATGAGGTATGAGAATATGGAACTTACCACGCGTATTCAACTGCTAGTACTGATATCTCAAAGAGAGTTTGCTATGACGAAATGCATTCAGGCTCTTATGGATATGAAGCGATAATAAATGGATATTGAATATTAAGAATGTGAAGTAAGGAAAATGATGGCACTGTAACAAAAACGGACCTTTCAAAAGCAGTAAACAGAATATTTAAAGCAAATTTCTGGAGACCGTCCTTGTACGTCATTATCACTTTTGAATGAAAGAACCAATATATGAGGAGCAAAAGGTACTAAACCCATAGGATATTCAATTTACCTTATACTACTACTTATATATTACGAAATACAGGCTATCTTAAACCAAGCAAAATTAAAGTAACTGTTATTAATGAAGCTTCAAGAAAAAAATATGCAGAAATAATAATTAAAAAAGTCCCTTTAAAAAAATTACCGTATTGTGTCTTCGCCAACGACACAATGTCCGTTGACGATAAAAACTCCATCGCCTTGTCGCAAACTACTCCGATCGGTTGGACTACCTGCATTTATAGCACCAATAAACTGCGGTTTATTTTTTTCCGCATGCAAATTATATCCGCATTCCTGGAAGATCTCTAAATTTACATACTATCTTAATTGTTTCAAATTTAAAAAAAAACTAACAAAGCAAGATGGCATATCCAATTCAGTGATACTTTCACATTCAACCATCTGTCTCATCTAGTGTCTTCCTACATTTCAGAACTTTGTAGCTAAATTCCCATTTGATAATCCTCCCTTCTTGGTCTAACAGAATCCAGGTCTGCATGTTTACTTTATTTGACTTAAAATTTCTGCAGAATGTAAACTTTTTAAGATTTTAAGGATTTAATGGTTGTAATAAGAAGTACCTGGCAGGATCGCTTCTCACAATTAAACAAACACGTGGCAAATGAGCATTCTTTGACAGTTGACTTGACATGTTGTATCCAAAATTCAGCATCGCTTCCCTTCTATAGAATTTGAAGTGCCATAATCGGTGCTACTGATAGTTTTAATAAGTGAAATTGATAGACCTAAAATAATCACTGGATAACTTTGCCTTGATGAACTGAAATCAAATAGCTTGCGGCCATTCGATGTCAGTGGCATGCAAAAACAATAGATAACTTAAATGCAAGATTCCCAAATGGTCGAAAGATCTGAAAGCTTAACTTGAAATTCAAGAAATGTCGGGTGTAAATAGAGCTGTCAGGTTAAATAAATATTAAATAAAACTACCAAGACCTAAAAAAAATATTGATAAAAAAAGCAGTAAATTATCAATGATGTGTAGCTCTCTAATTCGAGAACGCTTCAACGACTGCAGACATACCTGTAGTCACATTATTAAGTTTACCTCGTATTTTGCATTAATTCTTCATAAGTTAGACACTAGATAAGTAACAGTCTCCTCTTTCGTGGATGCCCTTAAAGGACAAGGGCAGTCACAATGATATCTTACGCACTAGGGAATTTTTTTCTACAACATTACTACATCTCATTGCCCATTCCCCAATAATGTGACCACAGGTATGTCTGCAGTCGTTGAAGCATTCTCGAATTAAAGAGCTACCCGTCATTGATAATTTACTGCTTTTTCTATCAATAACATTGTTCTATTCACTGCATGGGGTTCCTAACAAACATCGGTATGTACTGAATAAAGTGAGAATTGAAAAAGTTCGAAACACTAACCGCTAAAACTTTTTTCGGACCTTTTATTACACTGCCTCTCACCTGGCGATATATATTTGTTTCGACTGTTGTAAACTTTAGATTGTTGTTTAAATTGTTGTAAATTTAAAATCTTTCCAATGAACACTGTCTCTCTCTCTCTCTCTCTCTTCAACGATGTTAATCCTATGGGCCATCTTCACTTTTTTTGCTAATAATTCGGCACATTATTCACTTCATACACTCTCAACGAGTTGAGAAATAGCATTTATTTTTATTAAAGAAACATGAAGGAAAACTGAAGACTGTCATCGGCACGTGCCGTTTCCACGTTCGCAGTAAAGACTTGCGTAAGAAATATACTAGGCTTCAAGCTGTTTAAATAAAATTGAATCCACTCTTCAGTTTGACCACTTTTTCTTCTTCAAACTAATGGAACATCCGTGAATGTCTCTTCTGGAAGGCCGGAACGACTTGACTAATGAAGCGCTTGAAGTGATATAAAAAAGCAGGCGAGAAACATAACTGTAACGGCAACAGAAAATATTTGCATTAATCAAGATTATGCAAAAATTTCTCTCATTCTAATAGCAATTCAACTCGCAATCACATGGCATTCACGTCATTCATAATAAGTTAAACTCTACAATTAATTTACATTTTATATGAATTTAACCCTTTTTATCAATGACTACCCTTTGCTAAATGTCCACACATTGCTGCTAGTAAAAAATAACCGTGATGTCCTAAAATGCAAACCACACTGTACTGACATTTTCGTGAAGTTCATTAATATTTCAAATCCTCATCAAATGGAAAAGAATCATTATTTTTGCCACTAAAAATAAAATTATCGATTAGAAAACAAACTATTAATTGATTGAACAAGAATAACAGAGTAATAAACTTTCTTAATATGTAGAAATTCTAGACTTTGCAATAATGACCTGATACATACTTTGCCACATTCAAATTAACTTATAAATCTTAACTTATTCCTGAAAAAATAACATACATTACACACTTCATGTTCTTTTCAACACATCTGTTGAATCGGTTTGCTAGACATTTCGCTGCTGTTGCAACATTAATTTTTATGGAAGTAAAAATTTTGTTACTGCAACCTTATTAACTGCAAAATGTTACTAATACTATTTTTCGACTACTTGTTGGTATAAAAAAAGAAAAAAATCTAGTGAATACACGATTTGGAAGTACTTACACATGTGAAGATAAACAAAACTGTGAAATGAGTTTTATGGAGAGTTAAACATCATCTTCTAAACAAGAGCCTTGCATGATAAGATACAGCAAAAAGAAGCTCTGAATCATGGTAGTGAAAAAGTGGGGAAATTAATGATATAAACCTTACTCAGAACAGCTGTGGGAATGCAAGTTGAATTCGGATTTCTGACTTTTGTAAAAGAGCATTCTTGACAAGAAATTTGAAAAAAAATGGTTGGAAAATTGAAAGGAAATAAAAGAAACAGAAATATAGGGTTTTCACAAAAATCATTTAACACGATTAATAACAGCTTATCAAATCAGAAACAGAACCTGCGATGCTCATACTGAGACCACCCAGTTAGAATTCGCTGCTTCAGAAAAAATTAGCTTTTGATCAATCTCATGATGTAATTCTTTCGACAAAATATGATTATTGAATCCCTATTACCAAAGCTCTAATTTTCTTCGCCAATGATGATTGCCCGAAAAACAACCTACAGATCCTAGATTGCGAGTATTAGCATCTATTACTAACAGTCAAGATGTTGAAAGAGCAAAAAACAAAGTTGAAATAATCTCTCAAAAGCAGCGACGCCAATAACTGAAACGACTAAAACTAATAGCATCAAGAAAATCATTATTACCTTTTACACCAGAAAATCAGTCGTCAAAAACAGGTATAAGTGATAAATCAGGCTTCAGAGGCGGAAGTAGACAAAAATCAATAATAGATAGAGCTCCCTCGTACAAGACACAATATGAAGTTATTAAGGGAAGTACTGGACGTAACCGTAACAACTAATTTTGATTTCAAACAATCATTTGCCTAGCGCAAATAAAATGGAGATAGAGATAAGATTATCACAATTCTGGGAAACCCCAACATGTCTCCCAGAAATATCACTGTTCAGAATTAATTTCATTTAAAGGAAACTTATGTAAACAGTCAACTTTCAAAAACATTTTCATATAAGGAATGTCAAGTAGCGATATGCTGTCATTACGAAAATCTAATATAAGACTACGATTAACAAACTTATTCGAAGAATGAAAGCACAAAATATCTTATGTCTTGCTATACATTATCATAAATTGGGGAACAAATTTTAGTATTGTTACTTGTTATTACAATCGATAAATGGACATATTTATTGAGCGACAAAAGCAATTATTATTGATTAACAAAGATCAGTGAACCAAGCAGACAAAAGACAGGAAGAAGGAGGGAAGTGAGACTAGAACCATCAAACAGTTTTACCCAGTATTTTAGTTGGTGAATTCATTACTGAACAGCACGGACAATTGCTTTCTGTAACAAAATATGCATGACATATTAAATGAAAACACTGTCCCTATCAAAATAAATTACCAATTGTTCTCTAAACCATTAGATGCCATCAACCAACTCCAACTACTACCATTTTTCATTTTTGTTTGATATGTTCTTACACTTATACTACGCCTCTCAGCGTGGAATATCGTTATAAAAATTAAAACTCGCATGTTCTATGCTGATACGAGAGTGCTCCCTCAGTAACATTTAAGATACGAAATTCCTTACTGAAAAATTCAACGCATATAATATACAATGTGCTTGCTACAAGAAGCAATGTCTTAATGCAGTAACCAATAAAACAAAAAAGAAAAACCAATCACGGCAACAACACATTTGAGATCTACAAGGCCTCTACCTGACACAACGTTTTCACGTAAAACGATAATTAAGCGACCAAATTTGTTTTTCGAATGATTAGTAAAATTATTGAGGAAAAAAATTGCCAGCAATAATTCACAGAAGTTACAAAAGTATATCAAACCAAACAGCAACAATAAACGCTATTAATGGTTAAAATTTTGCTAACATTTCTTTACCCAACACACCAAGAACAGATCGTGTTATGTGTATTTCCAACCGAATTCAAAAAGGGTTCAACAACATGAAGCCAATAGTTTCACGAAGTACCCAACAGGAGTGTCAACAAGTTTTGTTAAACAAAATATCTGAATTATAATTCATCCATCGTATAAACCTTTTATTTTCGAATTTGAAATCCGATAAATTCTTTTTGCGAGTTTTGAAAATTTTTCATTACAATATCGATGTAGAAGTTGTTCAAATTATCATTGCTTTCCCCATTTTTGACCCTTTCTCCACCGGTCGTATTAACTGCTGTAAAAAGATATGTTGACATATCACAAAAAACAAGAATTATGGGAAAAACAAATAACAAGTGTTCACTATGAATAATTCGAGATCTGATCTTGCGCTTCTGCAGTTCTTGATCTGCTAAAAATTAGATCTGTTCAACTACGTGATGACCTCGTCCTTATCCACGCAGATATATATAAGAAACAATTCTACTTGATTAATGATTACTGAGATCAGCGTTTTCATATCAGTTTATACATAAAGATCAACAGAAAACGGAGATGTTTCCAAATGAAACAACAATTTTTTAAACACCTAATACATTAAAACAGGAAATGTGAGAATTTAGAAAATGAACTGTGATCAAAATAAAATTCAATGAACAAAGCCGCTAGTGCGCACAAAGCAGCAAATATAAATAAACTGAATGATCGTCGCCAAATGACCACTGAAACTAATATACAAAGGCCTGTAATCGAAAACCAACGAAGTAACCTGTTTGGTCGTACCCACAGTTTTTCAGGCGGAGCTGAAAAACATTAGCACAATAAATTATAGTAAAATTTACTATCACTTAATGTTACTATCAACAAAGTCTGAAATATTTTATCATCATCAGTGACGTTGAATGCCCGACGATTCTGGATAGTTTATTGTTAAGGGAGCTTTAAAATGCTAATGTGAAGAAAATTTCTTTTAGAGTACTATAATAAAAACTAGATACATAAAAGCAAGGCAGAGAGCACCATAATAAGCTGTGAATATAATGCTATGTCGTTTTCAATCAGCTTATTATATCATGAAAAACAGTCACACTTAGTCACACTATCCATTTTGAAGTAAAGTGTATTGTGAAAAAACGGTGATACTAGAAGTCGATGTATAATATTCATCCAATTTTTTCAACACTGCAACCTCTACGGCCTCTCTATAGCTGTTCAAGTAAAAATAAACCGATCCATCGCTTCCGTGATAAAACAAGGCTTACAAGCGAAGCCTTTATGAGTTACATCATATACTTAGCATAAACGCTACACGTGCTAAGCGTAAGATAAATAAACATGGAAGACACTTTTACAATATTTTTAAGTGAGAAAATAAAAAGAAAAGAAAAGCTTCCCTACCAGAGAGAATAAAAATCGGGAACATACCTTTAACATCAATTTCACAGACACCGTTAGAGTCTTTGACAAAGCCTTTTTCACAGATACATTCGTACGAACCCTCTGTATTGTTGCACTTAATATGCTCACCACTACATCGATTTTTACCGAGACATTCGTTGACATCTATAAAACCAAAAGAATTGGAGCAAACTGGAATAAAGAATTGGAGTTTTACTTCAAAAATGGACTATCTAACCGATTACGAAAATACAGCCCACTCTATTTAAGAAAAAATCTAGAAAAACAGGAGCTCCAGAACATGAGCAAATTGGAAATTTCAAACCTTCACATTCATTACTATCATTCATGATCCAACCAGCGTGACACTCTTTGCAATTTCGTGGCCCACTATCAGAACAACCGCTTTTACACGATTTGTGACATTCTAAAAACGTCAAAGGTACTGCAAATACCGAGAATCCCAGATGTATTAAATGCATGTTCCACTTTATAAATGAAATCCTTATATTTTTTAATTTCTAAGCATTAAAAAAAATCAGTAACAACGTAATGTTTGTCACTAATTGCATATATCCGTATATTGTTTTTGAGAGACGCATACATTTAAATTAAATTAGTTAGTGAAAAAAAAGAGATAAAAATTAGTATATATCTAAGTGTCTCAAACATTCCTCTCAAGGTATTTTATTTGCTTCAATATTTAGCACACCATGCATTATTAAATTTACCACTGCAAATGAAAGTGGAACTATTCCGTGTAGCATAATAATTTGCATCACAGTTGCTGCACATAAAGCCGACATAACCCATATCACATTTGCACTTACCACTTCCTTCCCGAGAACCATCACCCTAAAACTATTATATAAGCACTGATCTAATTAAGACTTATGGAGGGGAGGAGGAGGTCAAAAAGCTTTTTTTAAGTAAAATAACTTTTTAGACAGAAGCTTCTTTCAAAACTGACAGTAGATTTTCAATGAAGACCTGACAGGATCCATGACCGGAGCAAACTGGTAGACCTTTGTCAACACCAGGACAAGGTTTACAATCCGTACCAAAATGACCCGCATCGCAACATAACCGCAGCTTTTCGAAACATAACCACTTCAGGAAATTAGGATTGGAAAGTTGTTTGTGAAAGTACCAGTTTTCAATACTCTCTTCATGTTCTTCAACCAACTGCTGACACTGCAATATTATATTGCGCTTAATTTCGCCTTCCTAGAAATATAATACAGTGCAGATACCTTGAATTCGATATCCTTGACATCTCTAAACCCATTCGAATCATCCAAATATTTCGTTTTACACAAATGCTCCATAATTTCTACCAATCTTATTTCACTAAAACGACGAAGATTATGTAATGCTGTAAACTTCAAAGTTTTTCTGGTCAATTTTAAATATTTCGTTTCTAAATTTGACCATAAAAAATCCCGTTTGAACAGAAAGATGAAAGTGCATAGAAAAACTACCTTAGCTTCATGAACTCTAATCGATCTTTCCTCATCTTTTGTCATTAGCTTCATACAATAATTTTAACAGAACATAATTTTAACATTTTAACACAAAATAAATAATTTTAGCAGAAAAAGATTCTAGAAGTATGGATGAACCTTTTGGCAAACTTTCCCAACTTTCTCTCCTCCCAATCAGTATTTCCACCAGCGAAGTGTTGATTTTCAGTCTTTTTCAGACCCTATAAAATAAATTAGAAAAACTGGTGCAAAAACAGAATTTATGCATAAGTAACATTTCTCCAAAACAGCCCATTCTATATGTACTCTTCTACCTTACCTATATGCACTCTTCTACCAAAGCAGCAATCTGTAGCCATAAATCTAAAAATAAAAAGCTTTCAACGCTTTGAACATACGTTAATCTTAAATGACGGTTCACAAGTCCGTTTTTTTTTTATGAAGAAATGATACCTTCCATTATAAAACCAACCGCTTTGAATGTTTCCACGGCAAGAGAACATTGTCTACATTTATCAACGTATGCAGCGAATCCCATCGTGAAGGTTATCCAATAGGTCAGATATAGAAATAAGAAACCTTGATTGTTGCACATCTTAGCATTACTAAAATGCAGTAAATGATACAACGAAGTCGCAATTATGAATAGTAACAATAACAAAACACGTGGACATTCATAAGACACTAACTGATAACAAACTGATTTGCTCTGGTAATATATAGCAATAATAATAATGACATTGGAAAGATAACAGGAATAGCGAAGCGTGAAATATTTTAGTCGTATAGTGATAGGAAGCAAAAAAGGCAATGGCGCTAGACGACGATTTGGTTTGCGAAATGCGACGTTGAAATAGGTATCGACTAAATAGCAACCCAAATGCAGATAGTTTTGCGAGCAAACAAGTCGAACTAACAGACTTAGGCGTATGTATTCTAGACTGATTCATACTTACCGATCCATTCCTTAAGTTATTTTAAAGCAGACTCACGTCCAAATCACGTAGATATTCTATGCTTCTTCGTGATACCGTCTATCCCCCTCGAATGCATGCTGTGTTAGGCTTTATTTATATTACAAGCCGAATTTCCCCCTCTCTCGTACATTGGTATCAGACTCTTGCACAAGTCTTCGTCGTAGCAGCTTAATAGGGGGTAGTCACTTTTTTCATTTGATCCACATCGCTTTCAGATGAACCCGACATGACTCTTTCCCCTAAATGGCACAAACAAGTGAACTTTATTGTCTTTCTCACTTTCTCGCTCATACCGATACGAAGTACCAAAGGATCCCTATTGCAGAAAGGTAGAGAAAGAGATTGGAAGAGAAGTGGGCGTGGAACATTCTAGAACAGGTTCGAGATGTACACATTCTAAGGCAGCGGAAGGGAGGGTTGCCATCCGATTGCATAGCTTGCATTTTGGCGCATCTGTCTCCTTCGCGACAGCTTATTTTTGTCTGCAACACATGCTTTCACTGATGTGTACTGATTGGTGGTGTTGAATTTTGAACATGCAGTTGGTGAAGTGCGCTGTGTAAGTTGCAATGTGTTCACAACGGCGTATGCAACGTGGTATTTTATTCTGTGAAATGGATGTAATATCTTATAATCTAAGCTACAGAACAAGTAAACAGAGCTGATAATTAGCGATATTTAGTATTTATGTTGCCAAGAATTTTTTTCTAAAGTGCTTTGTTGTCACTTGTGAGCAAAGCATAACGAAGTATTGTTGAGATTTCAATTTTTTTTTAACTGGAATGTGCAGTACAGCATGGCACTACAGTGACCTTGTGTTTGTTCGTACATTGACTGAATTAAATGAAATCAATTTTAAGTGTAAAGAGCGGAACCATGATATTGAGAAAGATGTGTGTCTTCCGTACTGAGTGTAAGATCGTAAATAAGATTGTGTCCTTTCTTATCTTCTTTATTGTCACTGTAAATATCAGCAGTAGCTGAGACTAGATCTCACTTTTGCAATAGTCAAAAGATCATAGCACCACTTTTTTCTGCTCTTTCCGTTATGTATTAGTTGGTTTTGTCTCCTTAATGAATTGTTAAAGAAACTGCGGATGATTTATATCTTAACAAACTAAATTGATAAACATCCAGAAAATAGTTAGGTTTTGGTTAACCTGCTGTTTTCGATAAAGTTCCGGTCAGTTCGCAGTCGCATGAGATTCGAAGATTTACTACGATGATTTTTCAAAGTTTGGAATACTTGGAATCTTAGCCAATTAGACCGATTTAATAGATTACGCAGTGGGAATGGAACATATTGATGGATGCTAATTTCTCCTGAATAAATCTCCATGTTTTTATTGCTTATATACATCATTTCATTTAATGCCTGATATCCATCAAAGAGGTAGAGAGCATGACACTTTGGTCGTTAATTATTTCCTCTGTTGATTTGCATCTTAATAATGCCAAGAGCAATTAATTGAAATTGAGCATGTTTGAGCTTAGAGCAAGAATGAACATGTGGTGGATGACTTATTAGTGAGCTTGGCAAGATTTTGCTGTTATTTCTAGCCATATGGTCGGAAGGGATTTGGAATGGCGCAGTAACTCCTGCATTATTGATGTTTCGCTTATAATTTAAGTGATATTAATTTTCTGTGCTACTGTTTCTGCTGCTGCTGCTGCTACTGCTGTTGTTCTTGTTGTTGGTTAGCAAGTGCTGTTAAAAATTCTGCTTTTTCAACAAGCAAATTTTATCTTGTCGACTTGTGCATTTGTTTCTTGCCTTTCTGAGGACCATTTCACATAACATTTTTAGTGCTTTTTACTTTCATACGAATTAAGCACACTTATCATTATAAATCATTCCGATACATTTTATGGAACTGTTTCACTTGCTGTTAAAGGGAAATTTTTAAATGAAAATAAGCCGTAAGAGATTATTGAGCTTTTCTGTTTCACCTGCCTTCCCAATTTCTGCTGTTCTTTGGCTCGTGAATTTTTATTCCTAAACTTTACGGTTGTTGCTAAGCAGAAATGCAATGTATGAACTTGAATTTAGTTAAAGTTCCTGCATAAGCCAACATATTGTTTCTGATTTATTGTCATGCTTCCGTATTAGCCAGTGATTCTTTTCAGTTCCCCAGTATTTGTTAGAGATTCCAAACCGTACATAATCAATCATGGTAGGCAGTTTAGCACTTGGTGAGATATGACAAATATATGGCCTTGGGAAGAGACGAGCTGTCCAGGTTTCCAGGTGAAAGCTGATGAACATTGTTATCTTTTATGTTTTGTTTATGTAAAAAAAATACCATTTTTTATGTATGAAAGCTGAAAATTTCTTTCATATGCGTCCTCATCGTTCGGCATTTCTTATTCCAACATTATTGTGAGTGAGCCAAATTTCCTTCGTCATTGGAGATGCTCGACATTTTACCACCTAAGGCACCACCAAGACTATCCCATCGAGACAGAGAAGTGAACTACAAGCTGGTATAATTCGATAACACGAGCCATTAAAAAAATAAACAACGGGAAATCAATAAAAGAAGTTGGCAAACAAAAAAAATTGCTTATCGTTGCTTTTCCTTGGTTCTCAATGTAGCTTTTTGCAATGTTTTCCTAAGTTTTTTGACTGAACAAGAGATATATAATTATTTTTTTAAATGAAATTTTGGTATAAAAAGGCATTTTGGACAGAACGGCTAGAGTAAAGTCTTATTACTTTTAAAAAGAGTTGGCGAAAGCTATTAACTGAAAACTAACAGAATTGTCGTCAGTATTTGCACTATCACAATTACGAATTTCTTTCTTGTTTTCCTATTTAATTGGTAATATTGATTGTGTTTATTTCGGGCTGTTTGGGCAGTCTCTCTGTGGATTAGGTCGTAACGATTTCTTTTGAATGGAATGCTAAATTGTGAAAATGAAAAGAAAAGAGGAAAGAAAGGATTGATAAAATAACACCGCGTATCTCCATATCAATTTTCTTTTAAAAGCTTTGTAAAGATAAGTGATTAAAGCTTTGTAAAGATAAGTGATTTATGGACAAAATTTTCGAGAAAAGAATGATGCACTATATAAAAAAAAACTTTTGTATATTATAAATATTATAAAACATTATGAAACTTGACATATTATAAAACTTGCATTAATCTGTCAATTTTATAGCATAGCTCTTCAGACATCGGTGTTGTTACTACTCGTAATGCCATATCTTCTGTACTATCTTCTGTGAGCATATAGGCTATATACTTTTTTTTTCGGATTTATGTCCAGTATGATTTTCTATTTTCAAGTGGGAATGATAAGGTTACTCATCCTTCTTTTACAGTTAACTGCAAGAAATACGAAAACCAGTTTATTATTGACAGAGAGTGCTATGGAAGAAGATCTTACTTAACTATTCACTAGTGCTTAATCTGTCAAACAACCAAGCAGGAGTGCCCCGTTAAAAAAAGTGCTTTGTTATTTATTCCAACATTTCTTGGGGCCTGTTCATTGGCATAAAAAAAAATTATGGTGATTTTCTTTAGTAGCCTATTGCTTTCCAGAAGTGTAGAACGTGCCAGAAACAAACACCCAGTTGAGAATTACAATGAAGAGAGAATAATTAAATATATCAAAAAGAATAGTTAAATATATCAAAATTTCAGTTTTTTCATGTCATTAATCACTCATCATAAGTGAATTCTCTTAAGGTTCATAACAGTAATTTGCGTAAAACTACCACAAAAAAGTGACCTTTCTTTGAATGTGAGTTTCATGACTCTGTTATCTTCTTGTTGTTCTTTGTTTCATCATTTTTTTATTACGACCATCCGCCAATTGGTTTAAGAGCCGTGACAATCATTGAAGCCTATGCTGCGAACGGAATGAACCTTAAAAGATTGGATAGACCTCTAAGTTACAAGTAACTTCATATTTCAAAGCAATTTAATAAATGAAGGAAAATGGGAATGGAAACAGGACAGTCGAGTACAGTCTCATTAGTTTCTGGAATTGGTCATCCTAATGAAGGAAAAGATTAGGAGAGTATACATTTGCTCTCAATTCTTCTCTTTACGCATAGGTGAAAATGCATAAAAAAAAGAATTGAGAGCAAATGTATATATTATTAGAAATTATATATTAAAAAATTTATTCTATCTTGGTAAGCTGTGATTGTTCTTCAAGCAAAAACTTATCCCATAATTTACAGTCACATCGCCTGAACATGGAAAAGACAGGCGTGCATTGTACATACTACATTGATATTGTAATCCTTTTAATAATGCACACAAATCATTAACCTAAATTGATTTATTTCTGTGCTTCTGGGATAGTAAAAGCTGGAAGATGATAGCAGGCTTTGCTACATTACGAGACGTCGCGGTTATCATTTTCAGTATATGTGATTATCATTTCAGTCCTTAATACCGAAATTTTGCGTTTGGCGTATTCCTATCGATTTTATCACACCTCCTTTGAAGTCATCATTTTCACATTGTACTTTCATATGTGTTGTTGCTTTTTTGTCTTTGTCTTATCTAACTCCTCTGAATTGCTAAAAACATACGCAGTTAAATTAAATTAAATTAAGTTAAATAAATAAAT